GTCTCGTGGGCAGGGCCCCGGCGGCTCCCTCCCCCGAACAGCTGCCGCCGGAGGGAGGACGCGGCGCGGGAGCTGTCCGGAGCCCCGGTGCTGAAACCCCGAACCCTCGTCATCCGCCACTAACATGTAAGGCCATGAAAAGGGCTCGTCCTGGCGCAGCGCGGACATGGAGGAGGACTTATTCCAGCTCAGGCAGCTGCCGTGAGTACCACAGGGGCGAGCGAGAGGCAGACAGGCTTTCTTTTAAGAGACGCAAAGCTGCAGGGAGTGCATCTCTGCATGGCTTCCCGAATTTAAAGAGAACTGTTTCAAAGGAAGGAATTAGGCCGGGAGGACATAAGCCATTTTCCTACCCCAGCAGCCCTGACTCAGTTCCATTTTTGAGATCGGCCAGGATCCTACTGGGAGTCACGGGTATCATATTTTCCCTTTTCGTCGCTCTCCATCCTCGAGGGAATTGTGAGATCTGCTTGGAGAAAGCGTTAAGGGCTGTTTGGAAATGTGGACTGAATTGATGAATCTGTGCGGTGACCTGGGTCCTCCCCAGCCCTTCTCCTGTACCGTGAAATTACTGATTTATCTGCAAGGTCTTTTCGAAATGAATGATACGATGTTGCAACCTGGTTTCTAAAAAGCTGAGATTCCTTCCTAGAGCAGAGGCTTGGGCAAAGTCCTGTTGTTGATGGAGTGTGTGAGAGAGAGGCTTGTGCGCCGCCGTCGCTGAAACCTCTTGCCTTCTTCTGAATGAAAGGGTTTTCTAACATCTAGCTGGAGTGAGACTCGCTGTTGGGCACAGCAGGAATGTCCTCCTTTGAGGACGAGAATTTTTCAGGAATACCAGATTAGCTTCAGGAATCCTGGGAGAATACAGCCAGGCAGGGGAATGAACAGGGGCCTTGTAGAGGGGCTTACAGATTTTTTTCTGCCACAAGCAGATGGTGATTTGTTAAGCGAATTCCGAGAGATTAAGAGGGGACATTTTAAAAAGCACATTTTTGGTGGGTTTTGCTTTCGTTTTTAGAATCACTACCCATTTGGATGATGAAGTCGATTCTATTTGGGTTTGGTGGAAAGGATACATTATTGACACAAACGTGTGTATTTTCTTGACTTAAAAAACGGTGTATTTTGTTCTTTGAGCTCTTAAAGAATTCTCCCAAGTGACTTTTAGTGTGACTGATACAGCTCTCCGAGGTTCTGAGTATAGAGCCCATTGTAGCACTTACTTCTCAATCTGTATAGAATTAATTTTTATCTTAAAATGTATTTAATTTAGGTTTTAATTTTATTAACTGATCCACACATAGCATGACTTACGAATACACTATTATTTCACAAATGCTGAAGGATGCCTAGTTATAATAACCAGAGGTCAATGTATAAGTATATAAAAATGTAAATGTCTGAGTGCAAATCTCTCAAGGAAAGCATACCGCTTTCACTGGAAATAAATATGTTCAAAAATCAAACTGTTATCCCAAAATAAAAATAATTCAAAAGTTGAATTTTAAAATTTGTTGCTGAGGCCCAGGGATTTTGGCTCAGTGGTTCTGCTGCCTACCTAGCAAGTACAAGGTCCTGAGTTCGATCCTGGTACCAAAAAAAAAAAAAAATTTGGTGCTGAAAATAAGAATACTGTATATACTGGAACTTTAGCTTAGTGGTATAAATTTTCAGCGGCACAACATGTGAGTTTTGTAAAAGATTTATGTACACTTAATCTAATTTGTAGACATGCTATTGTTAAAATAGTTCTTCCCTTAATTACAAAAGAGTAAAAATAGGGGACTCTAACTCAGTGATAGAGCACGCACAAAAATTAATTAAAAATTAATTTAGCTTTTAGCTGGGGGATGTAGCTCAGTGGGAAAGTGATCACCTAGTGGGCATGAGGCCTTGGATTCAATTCCCAGTACTACCAAAAAAACCCAAAAAACAAAAAAAACAACTAACTTAGAGCTAGGTATGGTGGCACACACCTGTAATTCCAGCAATCAGGGAGGCTGAGACAGGAGGATCAAAAACCCAGCCTAGGGCCAGAGATTTAGCTCAGTGGCCCCATCACCTGCCTCAAAAGTGCAAGGTCCCAAGTTTGATCCACACTACCCAAACAAAAAACAAAAACAAACCAGCCTGGGCTACATATCAACTTAGCAAGATCCCTATCTCAAAAATTTTAAAAATTAAAAAGGCCAGGGATGCAGCCTACAAGGCTCTACATTCAATTCCCAGGACCACAAAAAAATGAATTTAAATTTTAATACAAATACATTATAAATAAAATTGACATAGTAAATAAAGTGCAGAGAGAAGCACAAACATGAAAAGCAAGGCTCTCTCCCTGAACTCCAGTCTTATTACCCAGAGTTGTTTCTTGATTATTCTTTCAGAAGTTTTGTCAACATAAGTACATATAATATCAGTTAGAAGTTAAAGTGTGTACCGTTTGAGAACATTTGCTCTGAGTCAGAAATACGTGGGTTCAAATTCTGACCCTGCCGGCTGTATTACTCTAAGCCAATAAGTTAACCTTTCTGAGGCACAAGTTTGCTAGCTATAAAACTGATATTATGGAGTGAAGGTGTGGCTCAGGGTGAAGCGTGTTCAATCCCGAGCATCCCTCCCAGAAATGTTATAAAAGTACTTGCTTCGTAGGGTTATTGTGAAGGTCAAAGGAGATCATATGTGCTAAATGCTGGGCAGACACAAAATAACATATATGAACTCATATTATTATTGCATTTAAAATAATTTAGAAAAACAAAGTTTGTGGGTTCATTATTGCTGGACTCCCAAAAACTGTTACGTGAAAACCCTAAACTGCATTTGAATGAAGTGAAAATTAGCCCTGAAATGCATTGACCTCAATTTATAAAAAAACAAAACAAAACAAAACGAAAAACAGTAAGCTAAAGGAAAGAGCTATGTGAGTCTGAGTGGGTTACAAATCACGACTGAGATTTTTTTAACCACACCCTGCATATATTAGGCACAGATTGCAGGCAACAGATTTCCTGGGAGCAATATGGTTTTTCAAAATCTCTGAGCGCCTTGGAGAGAGTTGGCAAGAGTGGACTTTGGAACAGACTTAGTTTCCGGGGAGGCTGGGTGTTAATAGATTATAAGCCACTAAGTAGTTTATAGGGTCAAAGGAGGGGGAGAGGGGATGAGAGGCCTAAGCAAACAGACCTTTCTTGCACTCGGGGGCACCTTCACATGGCTCTGGGATTGTTCATTTGAAATCACAACCCCCCCCCGCCGCCTTTCACCTGCTGTTCACCTAAGGACAGTGTCAAAAATAGGAGATTCAACTAGCTGAGATTTTGCATTCACTTCTGCCTTATTGTGTGTCCTATTAGGAGTCAAACTTTTTCTTTAGATCTCTTGTAGAATAATTTCTTTTTATCCAAGGCTGGAGATTGAACCCAGGGCCTCACGTATGTTAGGCAAGCACTCTACTACTGAGCTACATCCCCATGTACAGCCCATGGAATGATTTCTGAAAAGTTTTCCAAACCACATTGATGGATTGACACGTTGACTGATTCATTCACTCATTCAATGGTTTAACTGGGTACCAGTTGTACAAAGGATTCTACAACTGAATAAGACAGGATAGTCCTTGCCTTTGAGAAGCTCACAGTAAGGAACTCTGTTGTCCAATTTGGTAGCTATATGTGGCTATTTAGATTTAAACTTAAATTATCTACTTTATATGTTAAATAATTTACACAGTATAAGATATAAGTAAACAAACATTTAAAAAATCAGCACTTGAGTCATTGCAAATGCTGGGCTTGGGATATGGCTCAGTGGAACAGTATTTGCCTAGCACGTACAGGGCCCTAGGTCCAATCTCTAGCGTCACAAAAACAAACAAAAAGCAAATGCACGTTCCAAATGCCAAGTAGGCTATCATAGTGGGTAGCATAAGTCTGGAGGACTTCCATGGTTGCAATCACTTCCCAAGTTCACTAGTCTGGTTGGAAGAGGTGGATCCTGAGCACATCACTGCACGCATAGTTAAAGGATTGTCTTGAGAGCTGTCAGGGACTCATGCAGTGTAAGAAGAGAATTCCAGCAGAGGGAACCATATGGGTAAAAGCCCTGAATAGAAAAAAGCTTGATGTGCCACGATCAATGGAGCATAATAAACAGTTTGCTCAGGGGAAGACTGCAGAGGACAGAAGGGACCTGGCCTTACAGGGCTTTGCTGTAAGTGACAAGAAGGACTTGATCTTGCATGCACTCTCTTTCTCCTTTCTTACAAAACCTGTTTTTCAAGATAGAATGGAAGTCCAACACTTCACTGAACCTTTCCCTAGCTTTTGCTGGGTTAACCAGTAACACAGAGGTATAATGTGACGTCTGAGTCAGGCAGAGCTGGGTTCAGACTCTGGCTCTGCCACGTGCCATTGAGGTGGCCTTGGGCCGGGGACTTCATCTCTCAGAGGCCCGGTGTTGGTCTATAGAGCTGGATGTCTCATTGTACCTGTGAGGTTGGGCTGTCCGACTCAGCGAGGAGCTAATCATCGGGACACTCTCAGCTAGGGGCCTGGCTCAGGGCAAGGGCTCAGTGAATGGTGCTGGGTTCCTCCACCCTGGTTTGTTCCCCTCTTTCTCAACTTGCTCAGGCCCTGAGGCACCTGGAAGCCTTAGTCTCCTTCGCAGAGCACTAAGCACATGTCTGATTTGGTGTGAAAGTGCGTGTCCAAACTTGGACTCTTGATCTCTCCTCCATTCTGCTCCTCCTTTGGCTTCTCCTATTGCAGAGCACATCTGGGCTAAAAACTCTGGAGTCAATTTAGACCCCTTTCTCCCTTTCAGATGTCACTTTTATGGCATCAGGAAATCCTGTCGGTCCTGCCTCAAAGCTTCACCCAAGACTCCTAGCTCTTCTTTCCACCTGTACTCAGGCCCCAGGCTCAAGTCCCTGTCCTCTCTCACCAGGAAGGGCTGCCATGGTCTCCAGGGTGGTCACTCACTCCTGCATCCCAATCCGATACAGCAACCGGAGCCCTGCTTGGCTCAGAAGCTCCCATAGGCTCCCGTAGGGCTCATCTCTTCCCCCGCTGCCCCCACTGATGCTGCTGCAGCCCCCCGCCGCCTCTCTGCTGTTCCTCAAACCTGTGCACCATTCCCTCCACCCAGAAGGCTCTTCTCCAGGATATCGGCTTCACCTCCGTCAAGTGCCCAATGCC